TTTTTTTTTTAAAGGTTCAACTCATATATTTGTTAATTTTAGAATAAAGATACAAAACGCGAGTTACAAAAATAAAGTTCTAGCTAACTAGTTACTAAATAGTTGTGGGGGGATAAGAATTAATTGCTCTACGAGACGATCTAAATCCCACTGCCGACCCATAAAACGTTGGCTTCGCTATACTAACATATATATATATAAAATTATCTGAGACTTTTTCATCCAAATTTGGATTTATGGTTAGATCAAATGCAAAATCTAATCCATAAAAATGCACTAACTAATCCATAAAAACGCACAATTTTGCACAATTTTTCATAATTTTTCATTTTAAGATATGATTGTCAATATTGTAATGCATTCCGGGATATGATCATCATTTTGGCACAAAAAAATCTATCGAATTATTTGATATGAGGGTTAATAATTAGCCAGGATGTCCCTTAAATAAACAAGTTGTGATCTAATCTGAAACTGTAGTAATAAGTAATTCATATCACTGCATAATTGTGTTCAGAAAAAATAAAATTAAATTTGGTCATGTGGCAAATTTGAAAATTTGTGTTACCTCTATAATAAACAAAAAAAACATTGCGTTTAGGATCTTCTATTCAAACATTTTTCAAATTATTGAATAATATTATAATTTAAAATAAGATTTTTACTTGAAAAACATGACAGAAATAACTGGAAAAGTTTCTGATACTTATACTGATTGGTTAGAAAAAGCAATATCAGAAAATTATATTAAATATTATGATTATGCTGAATTCACTAATAAAGAAGAAATAAATAATGGATCTTTTGGAAAAGTTTTTCGTGTAAATCGTAAAGATTCTGATACTGTCATGGCTCTAAAATATCCATTTAACTTAACTATTGAAGAAATCGTTAATGAGGTAAATTATTATTATAAACATTACAATAATGTCTTTTGTTTTGTCCTTACTAATATTATATTATTATTATATTTATAATATTAGATAAAAATGCAACGCGAAGTTGATTATCATTCAAATATTGTTCGATTTTACGGAATCTCAAGATTAGAAAACAAATATTTATTGGTTATGGAGTATGCTGATTGTGGATCATTACAATCCTATTTAAAAGAGAATTTTAATAAACTTGAATGGAATGATAAATATCAATTAGCGCTCCAACTTGCAAATGCTGTAGAATGTCTAAATAACGAAGGAATTATTCACTGTGATTTGGTAATGCAATAAATAATTTATTGAATATTGTTTTTTATTATTATTTAATGAAATTAATTAGCATTTTTGTCAAATATAGCATGCACAAAATGTACTTGTACATCAAAATAAAATAAAGCTGGCGGACTTTGGTTTATCAAGAAAAATAACTGATATATCATACAATTCAACAAATGTTCTTGGTGTTGTTCCTTATATCGACCCAAAATATTTGAATAATATTAAAGATAAAAGCCAGTCATATAAATTAAATGCAAAGTCAGATGTTTATAGTGTAGGAGTTCTTCTTTGGCAAATTTCGAGTGGACATAGACCTTTTTATGCTGAAAATGTAGAATATGATGCAAATTTGATCATGAATATTATAAAAGGACAAAGAGAAAAAATTGTCCCGGATACTCCTATTGAATATAGTAATTTATATAAGGGTAAATTTAAGTTATCATATGCATGTTATTATATTATTAATTAAAGAACACTAATTTATTTAATTTTTCTAGCATGTTGGGAAGATGATCCAACTAACCGTCCTACTATTCATCAAGTTGTTAAATTTCTTAAACAAGTAATTTTTGGAGAAAATAATGATGAGATTAATTCATTGGAAATCAAAACAGAATTATTACAAGAGAATCATCCTCAATCAATTATATCTGATTTAGCATGTATGCTTAGTAATAATTCTATAGAATATATGTTAAGTAATAATTCTGAACTATATCTAAGTAAATTGATGCTAGATCATTTAAATAATGAAATTAACTCAATTATATTAAATCAAGCAGAAAAATTATTTTCAGAAATATTTAATGTAACAGATAACATAAATATTTTAACTGATAAATTAATTATGCTTTTAATTAAAACACAAGATGAAGGAAATAATATTGATGAGACAAAGTTATTCATTAATCATTGTATATTTCTTTCAAATCAAACTTCAAATGTTATTTTTGAATGGCTTAAAGAAAACCAAACAAAGTCACCTTATATTTTTTTTCTTGGATTTTTTTATTTTAATAAATTTATTTCAGAAGAACAAAATGATGATAAGGCACTTAAATTATTTTTAAAAGCAGCAAATGACAATTATCATATTGCACAAGTGTATTTAAGCACATCTTATAGATATGGAATTGGAACTGAAATTGATTATAATTTAGCAATTTATTGGATGAATAAAGCTATAAATAATGAAAGTATTTGTGGACAGCTTTGTCTTGGTGATTATTATGAATATGGTATAGGAACTGATATAGATCTAAATAAAGCTTTTTATTGGTATAAAAAATCAGCAAATAATAACAATAAGACTGCATTATTTCACTTAGGAAAATGTTATGAACTTGGAAAAGGAGTAGAAAAAAATGAAAATAAAGCATTTGGAATGTATACAACATTATACAAAAAAGAAGACAAATATGGATATCTTCAACTTGCTATATGTTATTATTTAGGAGTTGGAACTAAAGTTAATAAGTCAAAAGCATTTGAGATATATAATGAAGCAGCTGAAAAAGGACATTGTATTGCACAAAATCATCTTGGATCATTATATGAATATGGTGAAGGAATAGAAAAAAATTTAAATATGGCCATTTATTGGTATAATAAAGCAGCAGAAAATGAATTTGAGGTAGCACAATATAACTTGGGTCAATCTTATAGATTAGGAAAGGGAGTTGAAAAAGATGAAATTAGAGCTTTTGGATATTTTAAAAAATCAGCTGAAAAAGGATATTTAAATGCTCAATTTCAGCTTGGAATTTGCTATTACTATGGAATTGGAACTGAAATTAATAAATTAAAGGCAATCAAATTATATAAAGAAGCAGCTGAAAAAGAACATATAATGGCACAAAATAGTCTTGGATTATTGTATGAATATGGTATAGGAACAGAAATAAACTTAGAAAAAGCTATTTATTGGTATAATAAAGCAGCTAGAAAAGGAGAAGCAGCAGCAAATTATAACTTGGGACAATGTTATAAATTAGGTAAAGGAGTAGAAAAAGATGAAATTAAAGCTTTTGAATATTATAATAAATCAGCTGAATCAGGATATTTGGATGCTCAATTTCAACTCGGATATTGCTATTATAATGGAATTGGAACTGAAATCATTAAAACAAAAGCAATTGAATTATATAAAGAAGCAGCTGAAAAAGAACATACTATGGCACAAAATAGTCTTGGATTATTGTATGAATATGATGTGGAAACAGAAATAAACTTAGAAAAAGCCATTTATTGGTATAATAAAGCAGCTGAAAAGGGAGAAGAAGCAGCAAATTATAACTTGGGACAATGTTATGAAATAGGAAAAGGAGTTGAAAAGGATGAAATTGAGGCTTTTAAATATTATAAAATATCAGCTGCAAAAGAACACCTTGATGCACAATTTAGACTTGGATGCTGTTATTTTAATGGAATTGGAACTGAAATTAATAAAACTAAGGCACTTGAATTTTATGAAAAGGCAGCAGAAAAAGGACATATAGTTGCACAATTTTATCTAGGATTATTATATGAATATGGTGAGGCAACAGAAGCAACAGGTAATAACTTAGAAAAAGCTTTATATTGGTATAATAAAGCAGTTGAAAATGGAAATGAGATGGCAAAATATAACTTGGGGCAATGCTATGAATTAGGTAAAGGAGTAGAAAAAGATGAAATGAAAGCTTTTGAATATTATAAACAATCAGCTGAATCAGGATATTTAGATGCTCAGTTTCAACTTGGATATTGTTATGATAATGGAATTGGAACTGAAATTGATAAAACAATGGCAATTGAATTATATGAAGAAGCAGCTGAAAAAGAACATGCTGTGGCTCAAAATAATCTTGGATTATTATATGAATATTGTGAAGAAACAGAAGAAAATTTAGGAAAAGCTGTTTATTGGTATAATAAAGCAGCAGAAAATGGATATGAAGTAGCACAGTACAACTTGAGCCAATGTTACAGATTAGGGAAAGGGGTTGAAAAAGATGATATTAAAGCCTTTAAATATTATAAAAAATCGGCCGAAAAAGAATATTTAAATGCTCAATTTCAACTTGGAAATAGTTATTATTATGGAATTGGAACTAAAATTGACAAAACAAAAGCATTTGAATTTTATGAAAAGGCAGCAGAAAATGGACATATAGTTGCACAACTTAATCTAGGATTAATGTATGAATGTTGTGAGGTAACAGGAAAAAACTTAGAAAAGGCCATTTATTGGTATGATAAAGCTGCCGAAAATGGAAATGAAGTAGCACAATATAATTTGGGTTTATGTTATGAATTTGGAGAAGGAGTTGGAAAAAATGAAATTAAAGCTTTTGAATACTATGAAAAATCGGCTGAAAAAGGATGTTTAAAAGCCCAATTACGACTTGGATATTGTTATGGTTATGGAATCGGTACTGAAATTAATAAAACAAAGGCATTTGAATTTTATAGTATAGCAGCTGAAGAAGGAGATGGTGGTGCACAAGTTAATCTTGCTTATTTATATAGTTGTGGTCAGGGAGTAAAAAAGGATCAAATAAAAGCCTTTTATTGGTATCAAATGGCAGCAACAAATGGAAAAGCTATTGCATTATACAATTTAGGTGAAGCTTATGAATTAGGAACTGGGGTTGAAAAAGACGAAATTAAAGCATTTGAATATTATAAAATGTCTGCTCTAAATGGTTATTTTAATGTAAAATTTTACCTCGGATATTGCTATGTAAATGGAATTGGAACTGAAGTTAATAAAGCAAAGGGTTTTGAGTTATATAATGAAGCAGCTGGTAAAAAGAATAATAATGAACAAAATGGTCTTAGTAACGATACGAATACTATCAATGAATTAGATAATGTTTGTTATTGGTACCATAAAGCAGCAGAAAATGATAATAAAATTGCATTATATAAATTAGGTGAATTTTATGAATTAGGCCTAGGTGTTAATAAGAATGAAATTAGAGCATTCGAATTTTATAAAAAATCAGCTAATCTAGGATTTATGGATGCTCAATATAAACTTGGTTATATCTATGAACATGGAATTGAAATTGATAATAATAAAGAAGAAGCTATTAATTTCTATAAAATGGCTGCACAAGGAGGGAATGTTGAAGCACAAAAACGTCTTGCATTATTATATGAAAAAGGTGAAGGTATGCAAAAAGATATTAATGGTGCTAAAAAAAATCTGGATAATCTTTTAAATCAACAAAAAAGTGAAATAAGTTAGTATGATTTTTGTCCAATTTCTTTTTGAATTTTCTGGCAATTTATTCTTTGTTTCATGACTGTTTCATTTCATATAATTGAATGAATAATAATAACAGTATAAAATAACTTGGTCGTAAAATTTAAATTAGAAAGGACAATTTTTTTTTTTTTTTTTTTTTTTTTTTTAAAATAGTAACGCGTTTTATTAATTATTTAAAATTGCGAACAATTACATAATTAAATATAAAAACACTTAGAGCAATACAATAAAAATAAATTGTAAAACCCTATAACTAAGTAATTTTCGAACATAAAATTATTTAAAATTCTATCTATACTAAGTTACTAATAATATTATGTAAATATTTGCTAAACTAATAAAAAGGTAATTTTAATTAGAAAGGACAATTAAAAAATATGATAATGATTTATTTTAGTTAATCATTAATTTAAGTAAACCAACTGGAAATAAATTAGTTAATATATCAAATAATTACTTATTTACATTATTAATAAATATTGATATTTAATTAATATTTTTTTCTATTCTAAATATAACAATTTCTTAACAATAATTTAAGGTGTTTAAGATTTGGACATTTTCGATAAATAGCCTGAATTAATATAATCAAATTTCATTTCAACGTTAATTAAGCTTGTAAAGATTTGACTAGAATACTATAATTTGTAATAAAGGTAAAGATAAATTCTCTGAACGATACCATGATATACTAGTTGTATAACGATGACAATTAATCCCCTATGAAAAAAGTCTGTGTGATTTTTGTTGAAAAATAATTCAATTAAATTCACTACGATTTCTGTATATTTGACCATACAATAATTGTGCTAAAAATTGCAATAAATCACACAATTATTGCATGGCAATTCATTCAATAATTATCCTATTTTTGACCTGAATTTATACAATTATTGTGTGATTTTTGAGCCAAATTTTAGGCCATATTTTAGGAATTATAGGTTAAATATTACAGTAATAACAGGCAATTTATAAAGTGAAATTATGAATTTTTATTGACTTAAAATATAAAAAATATACACAATATTTTATAAATAAAATACTAAATTTTATATAATCATAAATATAAAAATTTGTAAGAAAATAAAATAAAATAAAGTATGTTAGTATCAAAGAAGAAAGTAAATATTAGTGTAAGTAAATTATTAGTATTAAATAAAAAGTATGAAGTTAGTGAAGAAAGCAAATTGGTAGTGTTAAAAAGTAAATTATTAGTGTTAGTAATAAAAAAGTATGAAGTTAGTGAAGAAAGCAAATTAATAGTGTTAAAAAGTAAATTATTAGTGTTAGTAATAAAAAAAAAGTATGAAGTTAGTGAAGAAAGCAAGTTAGTAACATTAAAATGTAAAAAGTTAGGAAAATAAAAAGATAAAGAACACAAGTTTTTCTTACCTGATATTTTAAAAGAAAGTTGAAGAAAGGTTAAAAGG